CCACCGTGTGCACACCCGCCCTCCGCAGGCCGCGGTGGCGCAGAGCTTCCAGCACGAGCAACTGCACTTTGGCCAACCCAGCAGCTACTTTGTGCAGCTTCCCCAAGCCGTGTGGCGCTACCGGGACCACATGGTTCGCAGCCTGCAGTCTGTGGGCCTGAGGCCCGTGGTCCCCCAGGGCAGCTACTTCCTCATCGCAGACATCTCAGACTTCAGTGAGCAGGACTGGCCAGGCTGGGCGGAGGGGGGCCGGGTGCTGGAGGCGGCCCAGGGCTCAGCGTGGCTTCTGTCCCCCAGAGAGCAAGATGCCCGACTTGCCAGGCGATGTGGACGAGCCCTACGACAGACGCTTCGTCAAGTGGATGATCAGGAACAAGGTGGGCCGGGCTCGGCCTGGGCCCCCGTGGGTGCTTTTAGAGGCCGAGCCCCAATCCAGCCCAGCCTCTGCCATCAGCCCTAGTACCGGGGTGCATCTGTGTCTGGAATTTGCAAAAAGATGCTGTGCGGGCTGGCAGGCATCCCTGGGCTCTCAGGGCCTCGGCCGTCTCATCTGTACGGTGCGGAGTTGGCGCCTGAACCCCGAGCTCATCCGGCTCTGAGCTCTGACCCTAAGGCTGATTTCTTCTCTGGCTCTGCCCTGACCTTCCACGTGGTGCTCCCCCCCAGGCATCCACCACCTCCCCTCTGTACACAGGGAGGGACTGGGAACGATGCTCTGCCATTCTTTTCCCCTGACCTTGACCCAGCACTGAGAGGTACTGCACCGAAGCTAACTGTCCCTGCCCCAGCCCATCGTGGGAAACTGTCCCCCAGAGCCAGGGCCTGCCATGCTGTGGGGCGGTGTTGAGACGTGGGCTTCCTCCTCCCCAGGGCTTGGCGGCCATCCCGGTCTCCGTCTTCTACAGCAGGCCACATCAGAAGAACTTCGACCACTATGTCCGCTTCTGTTTTGTGAAGGTAAAGGACGGGGTTGGTGGGGAGAGAGGGCCTCCTCAAGCTCCCCATGGCCCACTGGTGGTATGGGGAGAGGGGTAGGACCGATCTGTGTTGGTGCAGGACGAGTCCACGCTCCAGGCCATGGACGAGAAGCTGCGGAAATGGAAGGATGAACTCAGGCCCTGACGCCGCCTGCTCATCCCGGCCCCACCTGGTTCCTGCATGTTCTTTGCCAGGGTGTCAGCCCTTCCCAGGCTGGGCGTAGACTGAGCTAGGGGCCCCCTTCTCTGCGACACAGGATATCCCCAGGGAAGAGCCCTCCTTCTTGGTCTTGGTGGATTCAGAAGCGCTTCCCACAGTACCTATATTCCTGTCATAGTGGTGAGGTGCACCTGACCTGGGCCTCTTCCTGCTCCTCCCTGGATTGGGTCATAGAGTCTTGGGTCCCCTCCGTATTCTCCCCCAGACTTGTCTGGGACTCAAGGGACAGAGTCCAGCAGTGTACTGGCCTTGAGTCCCAGCCCTGCTCTGGTCCCAGCCTAGGCTCCCGCATCCCGCCCTTTCTTTCTCTCCTTAGATAACCTCGGGAAGTGGTCTTTAGGCTTGAGTCCTCAAGCCAGTACTTTTCACCCATAATAAAGCTTTAACTTATTTAGACCCTTATTGGCTGCTTCTCTCTGCTTCACACGGTGGTGCTGATCGCTGATGGGGCCTGGGGCGAAACAGAAGACACCTCAGTGAAACTTAGATCCCAGCCCCTCTTTGTACAAACGTGTTTTGTGGAGTAAAACGGAGGCCCAGAGCAGGGCAAGGACTGGGGACTTGTGTGAACCCGGGGCTCAGAAGAGGTGTGGCTGTGGCACATTGTGCATGTGTAGGAGGTGGGGGCCTCCGTTGAGAGTCTGACAGGGAGACACGAACAGTCTCCTGTCTCACAGGGGTCAGAGTGCAGGCCAGGAGGGCCAGGGAGTTCAGGCAGAAGGGGAAGGAAGTAGCGCATTTAACTGTGCACCCCCCTGTGTCAGGGGCCTAGATGCCCACCATCTCATTAAACAAGCCTCTGAGGGCGCCTGGGTGGCTCAGTTGGTTAAGCGACTGCCCTCAGCTCAGGTCATGATCCTGGAGTCCCAGGATCGAGTCCCGCATCTGGCTCCCCGCTCAGTGGGGAGTCTGCTTCTCCCTCTGACCCTCAAGATCTCTATCTCATTCTCTCTCTCAAATAAATAAATAAAATCTTAAATAAATAAATAAATAAGCTACATACTTTGATTCCAACTATATGACATTCTGGAAAAGACAAAACTATAGAGATAGTAAAAAAAGATTAGTGGTTGCCAGGGGCTTGGAAGAGGGTAGGTGGAACACAAGATTTTTAGGGCAGTGGACTTATTTTGTACCATACTGTAATGGTAGATACATGACATTATGTCTTTGCCAAAACCTGTAGAATGTACAACACAGAGTGAACCCTAATGTAAACTATGGACTTTAGTTAATAATACTGTATTAATATCGGTTCATCAACTACAGTAAAGGTACACAGTAAGGCAAGATGTTGAGAGTGGGGGGAAATGAGTGGGGGAGAAGGGTTATATGGGAACTCTACTATGTGCTCAATTTTTGGTAAATCTGCTCTAAAAAATAAAGTCTGTTAATTAAAAGAGAGAGTAAATGAATGCATCCATAAAAGAACTGGATTAAATTCTAAGATCATTTCCAGCTCTGAATCACACTCCAGCTCTGGGCCTCAAGGTCCCCCTGTAGAATAAAATCGAGCTGAGTTTTAAGTGTCGCGCTCCTGGGGAAACGGAGGGCGGCTCTCCTGTCGTCCAAAGATTCAGCACAGCACTGCACAAACTGCCCCTCTGGACCCTCGAGGCCGGCGACAAGTTCTGGCCCCCACGCCCTGCGCGGACCCTGCTCACCCACAACCCACGCGCTCGCAAAGCCGCCAGACGTGTAGGCCACGCCCCCGCATGCCATTGGCTCTCCGATTGGACGGCTCGGGGGGTGTGACCGGAAGAGGTGAGTCTGATTGGCAGGGCATGGCCGACGGTGTGCGGGGAATATGGCGGAGCGTGTGAAGAAGCGGCCCTGCGGCCCGGTAAGTGGCGGGGGGTGGAGCCCCGGGGCAGGACAGGGGGTGGGGGCGCTAGAACGAGCCGCGTGGGGGCCCGTGGCGGGGTTGGGCCGCGCCTCCCGCTCCCTGCTTATCGCTGATCCGAGGCCGGAAGCCCCGAGGTGCCGCATGCTCGTGGACGCGTGCGCCCCTGCGCATGAGAACCGGGGGTGAGTGCCGGGGTCCGAGCCAGGGCCGGGACAGCGTCAGGTAACCCATTGCTGGAGCCCCTTGCGGCTACTCTGACCCGGGCGTGGATTCAGGAGGTGGCGTATCTTTCGTGGCGTATCTCTTCTGACTCCCAGGGCGACAGGAGGCAGATCCTCTCCCCCCGAGCTTCAGTTCCCTCTTCTGTCGTGTCAGACTCGATTCGACAACTTACTGAGTGCTTGCTATGTGTCAGGCCCGGTCCCAGGCCCTAGAGTGTCGCAGGTCTCTGCTCTCTGACGCTCTCCCAGCAGCAGCGGTGTGGGGGCATTCCGTGGTTTCCTCACCACCCCCATTGATAGGCAGGAAGTGGGACCCCCTCCCAGTTGTGATCATTAAGCCTCACTCCGGTACCTCTTCCCATTCCTACTCTAGGGTGAACATGGCCAAAGGGTCGAGTGGCGAAAATGGAAGCAGCAGAGTAAGTAAGAGGCTGAAGGGGAGGGGATCTATTCAGCCTTGCCCGAGGCCACTCCAGCAGTGCACTGCTGAACCTCGGGGGGGGAGCCTCCAGGTTTGTCCCTCTGGGTCCCCCAGCACCCAAAATGGGAAAGACGGGGCCACGGAGGCTCCTCTGGCTGCTCAGTAAGCAGCACTGGAGAGGCCAGGCTGACCGTATTGGGAGGGCACCATCTTTTGGACTGCTCCATGTCCGTCTCCCTCCAAGTCCCTTTCCCCTCCACCAATCCACATGTCCTCTTCTCCAGAGAAAGAGGAGAAAAAGAAGTGGAAGGATCTCAAGCTGATGAAAAAACTGGAGCGGCAGCACGCACAGGAAGAACAGGCAAAGCTCCAGCAGGAAGAAGAAGCAACTGCACAGAGGGAGGACCAGGGTGAGCAGACTGGGTCCTGGGCAGGGAAGAGAATGTCATATCTGAAAGGGACCTTAGAGACCAGTGGGTCCAGACATCTTGTCCTGAGGGAGAAACTGAGGTCCAGAGAATGGGGAAACCTGAGTCCTAACCTCCTACTTAGGTAGATTTCAATCCTTTGGAGCCTAAGCATCACATATCATAACTTTATACCTCCAGAACTCATCATCATAATGACAGGTTTTTGTTTTTGTTTTTGTTTTTACTTTTTTATTGAACACTTTCTGTGTGCTTTAATGTAGTTGTTCATTTACTTATTTTTTTTTTTTTTTTAAGATTTTATTTATTTGACAGAGAGAGACACAGCGAGAGAGGGAACACAAGCAGGGGGAGTGGGAGAGGGAGAAGCAGGCTTCCCGCCGAGCAGGGAGCCCGATGCGGGGCTTGATCCCAGGACCCTGGGACCATGACCTGAGCCAAAGGCAGACGCTTAACGATTGAGCAACCCAGGCGCCCGCGTTTACTTATTTTGATTTTATTTTTTTAAGGAAGCTCTACACCCAACGTGGGGCTTGAACTCACAACCCTGAGATCAAGAGTTGAACGCTCTACCAACTAAGCCAGCCAGGCGCCCCTTATTTTGATTATAATAAGAATTTGTCTTTTTTTCTCATTAAATAATACCCGTTCAAAACATCCCCCTCCCCAAAATACAGAAAACTGTAAAGAAGAAAAATCCCAGCAAACATTGCAGTGAAAGTTTCTCCAGGTGTTACGTTATATCAACTTATGCATATGTAGAGTATATAGATAGAGTTTTACAAAAATGAAGTCACTTTATCCATTAGCTTCTGGACTTGGTTTTTCTCATTCCACATTGTGCCCTGTGTGTCCTTCCACATTAGTACATCTGGATCTACCCTAACAGATTGTATCTTTTCTCCTGTCTAGACCCAAATGTCAGGAGGGTTAGGGTGTCATAACACGCCCTCTAAGCCCGTTGGTTACCAGTGATGATGTTGACAGTGGGGATAGCAATTGAGCATGTCAGCTGTTTCAGACACCAGGGAAGTCCTTCCTGGGTGTTCCCTCATGTGGCTCCCTTTGGGTGACTCTGGGAGGGAAATATGGTGGTCCCTCCGGAACTAGACAGCCTGAACCCGTATCTCAGCTGTCTTGCCTTTTGTGTGACCTTGTGCCACATGTTTGATCTCTCTGGGTCACAGGGTCCCCACTTCTCGATGGGGATCATAGTAGTACTTCTTAGGGTTATGGGGTAAATGCACACAGAAAAGGCCCTAATAATATTAGCTCTCTTTATTATCCCCATTTGACAGCTGGAGAACTGAGGCAGTGGGGGGTGGAGCCAGCACATGAACGTGGGCCAGTGCCTCTAACCACTCTCCAGTCTTGCCCAGTGGTGTGCCCTGTCCATGGGCGCCTCGGGGACCAGTAGGTCCATTTTCCTCCTGGGTAGATTGAGGCCTCGAAAGGGGAGTTGGATCTATTTTGCTGGCCTCAAAATTCCTCCCAGAGGAAAAGTTTTCTAACTCTGGGCCCTGGGATTAGAGGGAGAGAGGGGAGAGCTCGACCCTAGCCTCTTAGACTGCCCATGAACGCCCCTCCCCTGCCCAGGTCGGCCCTACACCCTGAGTGTGGCCCTGCCAGGCTCCATCCTGGACAATGCCCAGTCACCAGAGCTGCGCACCTACCTGGCTGGCCAGATTGCCAGAGCCTGCACCATCTTCTGTGTGGATGAGATTGTGGTGTTCGACGAAGAAGGCCAAGATGCCAAGTGAGGGGCCATCCAATAGGGCACCGGGGCTCAGTGAGGAGGGAGGGACCGCTAGGATTGACTTTGCTTCATCCTTGTCGCTGCCTACTTGCCTGGGCGGAGAACGCTGCCTACAGTTTCCCCTGGTGAATCTGGTGGGAAGAGTTGCAAAGCAGGGGCACTGCAGGGGTCAGATTGGGTGGAGGAGCTCTCGAAGGGAGCACAGTAGGCTCTGGAAGCCCTATCTTTCTCTCTCCAGGACCGTGGAGGGAGAATTCAGGGGAGTCGGTAAGAAGGGGCAGGCATGCGTGCAGCTGGCCCGGATCCTGCAGTACCTGGAGTGTCCACAGTAAGGGGGTGAAGGGCAGACTTCCCTGAACGTGATGGGGAGGAGGAGGGTGGTCGAGGTGCAGGTCAGGCAGGGGACAGCCTCCCCTGGGAACTTCCTGAGATCCACGGTCTTTACTAGGTACCTACGAAAGGCGTTCTTCCCCAAGCATCAGGATCTCCAGTTTGCAGGTAAGGCTGCAGGGGGTGCTGACCCCATTTCTCATGGATCATCCCCCAGACCCTGAGAAATTGCTGCTCAGTTGAGAAAACAGGCCCAGGCAGGGCAAGGCCTCTGCCTGGTGGCAAACAGCAGGTCTGTGGCAGCCCTGGAACTCGGACCAGGCCTCCAAGGTTCCTGCCATACCACTGTGTGCCTTTGCATCTCCCAACCCACAGGGCTTCTGAACCCCTTGGACAGCCCTCACCACATGCGTCAGGATGAGGAGTCCGAGTTCAGAGAAGGCATCGTGGTGGACCGGCCCACCCGGCCAGGCCACGGGTCCTTTGTCAACTGTGGCATGAAGAAGGTAGGGATTGGGAGAGCGGGTTGGGACAGACATTCCGGACACATCCGGCCATGGAGGGCAGGCAGGGTCCTGTGAGCAGGGAGCCCTGGACCCGGGCATCTGTGTAGATGACCCAGGCCCTACTGATGTAGATTTGGGCCAGAGAAGTGCCCCCAAACAGGGCTCAGTAGATAAAGCCAGGAGCAAATACACTGTTTCTTAAAAAGTAAATGAACAGAGGTAGTCCTCACGCTCAGACCCAATCCACCCCAGCCAAAACCCTACAAAAACAAGTTCAGAATCCCTCTGGGGCAGCTCCGGCAGGACGCAGAGCCACACTGGGATTGGCGCATTCATCTGCTGCCTGCTTACTCTCAGGGCTTCTGGATTCAGAGACAGAAATACTTCAAGGTGGAGGGTCCCCTCCCCTCAAAAAGAGCAGACCAGAAATGACGGGCTAACTGCAGACCAGGATGACCCAGACCCAGACGAAAGGAGAAAACAGGAGAAACCTCAGAAGGGAAAGTGCCCTATCCTGAATTCAGAGTTGGCACAAAACACAGACATCGGTTATCACTCGTTGCAGCTCCCGTTGACCTCACACCGGGCCCTGGGCTGTTGTTTGTGGAGGGTTTGCTGTTCGACAGTGGAGGGAACTGAGGCTCGCAGAGGTTAAGTGGCCTGCTCACACCGCTGTAGCTAGGAAGTGGTGTAGCCACATCTGTTCAGAACGTAGAAGACTGGGATTCCATCTTGCGAAATACTTACTCCTGCCCTGTGCCAGGCCCAGGGCGTTCGTCTTTGCCCAGCGTCTGGTGGTAGTTTTGCAAGAATGGTCTCTCTCTCTCTCTCTCTCTTTTTTTTTTTTTTTTTAA